TAGCATACGAAAAAAAAAAAAAATAGAACGCCACCATGAGACTATAACATCGCATCTCACTCAGAAGAACAAGTTGAGAACTTTGGTGAAACCACACTGCTATACTCACTCTGGTATAAGGGCCTTAAATCCAGGCTCAAGTTGGGAGATCTTGATGGCATGGTTCTTGATCTCAAAATCCACACCCCACCACTCCTGGAGCACAACGATTCCAGGAGCGTCTTCTTTGCCAACCACATAAGCATCAAAAGTCTGATCAATCAACCAACCAATCTTAGAACTAATAAGGGGCAGTATTCTCCATCACACAGACACTGGCAATGCAATGCGCTGAACGTAAAACAAGTTCACTTTCAATTGGATCAAGACTAACCGGAGTGAACTGCACGGATATCCATGAGAAATTGAACACAACCCATAAATCAGAAAATAATAAAGCCACTTCCTCTCCATCCAGAACCGCAAAATAAACCTAAGAGAAAGCGAACTCATCGTCTTCCATGAATTCAAGCTCACAACAAATAACCAGTTCCCAATTACAAATTTCCCGAACCATTACTCCATAAGAAATTCAATCAGTCAAAGGTCCGAGCAACAAATACCCATCAACAGCTTCAATTCCCACCCACTAAAAAAAGATCACATCCCATCCCAGCATCGGAAGCGGTAAATAAAAGAACACGACGGAATCAGAAGAAGAATTAGGGGAAAGAAAACTGACAGTGTCTTCCCTCTGGATTTGGATTTTCTTGAAGGAATCAGCGGAGGCAGCCATTGCTCGAACTTGGAAGCGAGCAGAAGAAGAGGAGAGTGATCTGAGTAGAGAGGAAGGGGAAGAGAAGAAACAGCGGGCTTTGGTTGTGGGCGCGAATATTCTGGAAGCTGCCGATGACGAGAGCGAGCGGCCGACAGCAGCTGCCAACATCATTTTGTATTTTAACTTGGCCGGAATTTGGAAACAGTCTCGTTTGGTTGCGGTTCACAACCTTCCACCGTCTTTACTCTTTAGTAAAGTTCCACTAGCAAAACAACGGCGTCATTTAGAAAAAAACCAAGGCAAAACTATTGGGCCTGGCCTTTATAATGCTGGGCATTTGATGTCATCCTGAGTACTAGGCCCGAACTCGGTACTTAGAAATGCCAAGCCCAACAGGGTTAATAGTACTTTTTTGGTAGAAAATGAAGCAAGCGCCTACTAGTAAAAAAAATAATCTAACGATCCTCATAATCATCACCTTCCAAGTTATAACTTGATACCATGAATAATTCCAAAATCACCCACGGGAGAGGAACACTTCCAACGGCAAAGACTAATCTCAGAGGCAAAAACGGTTGCGCAGAAAGCTTAACAGCAAAGAGAGAGCAAGAAGAAAGAAGAGAATGTTGAAAGCAACATTGGCCCAACCACACAAGTTTAAAAACTGACGCCAAACTAGCTAGACTCCCAACTACTTGTTCGTTTAACTCAGCCCCATCACTCGGTCATCCCTAGCAACTCAAGAACACAAGAACAGCTGTAGAAAAACAAAAAGAGCATAATGTAACGCCAAAGTGGTTGAAACATCTTAATTACTTGATTAGTCACTTATATAAGTAAATCAATATACAATATTTAATTTGCAACTAAACCTCATGTTGTCCAAAGGTGAAATTGTGTTTTAATTAGGACTTCAACCATAGGTATATTGAGTGATTGCAAGGGAACAATGTACTTTTCATTTTCCAATTAATAAAATTACGCTGGTACCGTCCGGTTTCCTCTTCTCTCCGACGAAGATTACAATTTGCATCATGGTATCAGAGCCTAACACTCATCTCCTTTCTCTTGAATCTTCGAATTCGTGATTTCTGTGAGTCTCCTTTCCTCTGGTCGAGTTTCCAGAAGAGCGGAAGTTCTTGATCCTTCATCTTCTTGTCTCGTTTCTTCAGTCTTTCAATTCTGCTGCAATCCTCTTTGATTCGTTCGATTTCTTGACAAGGTCACTTTTTTATTACTTCTTGCTTGGATTCGATTGTTTATCCGACGAGTCAACCCTGATTCTTGGTGCTCGTTTTGATTAGACTGATTTTCCGATGACTTCATGGCGTAATTTCTATGGCGACTGATCCTTCTTTGAGTTTAGCTTCTTTTGTCTCCACAACGATCGACACTGAAGACGAGTACTTCATCGCTAATGGTAACAACGTCAATCCCGAACGGGTGACAATTCCACTCACTAGGGCCAACTATCATTCCTAGACCAGATCCATGTGCATGGCGCTTCACTCCAGGAACAAGTTGTCGTTGATCGACTCTTATGTTCAGCCACCGCCCGTCGGTAATCCACTTCACAAAGCTTGGGATCATGTGAATATGATTTTTATAGATCACAATGTACAACACACCCAAAGTTCCGAAGGTGTCATAAACAGTTGATCCCAATAACTCGAGTTGTTGGGAGAAGGTTATTACAGATCTTATATCACTCTCATACATGTCCCCTCAAACGAAAACCAACCCATGCTCTTGAAGTTTTCACAAGCGATCGTCATACCTTTAGCTTTAATCAACTATTAATATTGTGGGTCGTGAAGATTCAAACCCATGACTACTTGGTCAAACCAGCTCTGATACCCACGTCATAAACCAACCTAATAACTCGAGTTATTGGGACCATTTGGCTTATGACATGTTATCAGAGCTGGTTTATCTTTGAGCTCACATGTTGAAGTCCTTACAACCCCGAATATTAACCGTTATCTTATAGTAGATAAAAAAATTTATTAGAACTTAAAACGAAAGAGATATAGCCCATTAAATTAAATTGTGGAAAAATTTAATTATCTTCCATAAATGATAATAAAGGGTTATGCAAGGTAATGCATATGTAAGATATACATTGGATCTATTCTTTCCTTGTAGTATAAGGGAGAAAATTTAAAACTTGGTTATTAAATGGGATAACAATTAAATATGATATATAGAAAGCATGCTCCAGATCTGTATACCGTTGATATAATCTAACGGTTATTATTAAGAAAAATTAATTATGATTTAAAGATAATTAGTTGGTTCCATTATTTTTTCATGCCTGCCGATCTCTTCATTGCAGCCTCAGCCATTGTTTCCACTACGTATTTTTCGTGGTCGTTCACCTTCAACTGATTCGGATTCGTCGCGAACGGGTAGCACACTACAAAAGAAAATACTTACAACAGGTTATTTTTTAACTTTTAGCATCCAAAAAACCCGCTGCTAATAATCCCGGCAGGGGTTTTATGACCGCAGCTAAACCGTGCTAAATCAACCGCTGCAAATTAATGTCAGGGGTTCGCTCAACCGCTGGTGGAAGCCTTTGCAACGGTTCTGCACCGGTCACTATTGCTGCGGTAGACTTTTTTGCAACTTTTGGACAATAATTAGCAAGGGCCTTTCCAAGGGTTTTGCGACAGTTTTAAACCCCTGCTATTGGAACTAAATTTAACGACGTTTGGTGTCGGTTCTATATAGCGTCGCTAAATAATCTGGATTTCCAGAATTTGATTTCTTTTACCACCTGCTGCATTTTTTTTAAGTTATCACCAGCTTTAATTCAATTCATATAAATTTCAAAGCTAAAATCAACCATTAACCATTATTCAAAAGTCACATGACAAATTACTCAACAGATAGTAGACATTCACAACTGGTACTTGTTTTAAAGCCAACAACCAACAATTTGCAAACAAAGGATAATGCTAAAATTGAAGTAAAGTTCCAGCAAGTTTCAATACTATGTAGTCATTCTCCTTCTCCAGTCATCCATATACAGGCTACCCCAGCACCATGCAATGGTGGTTTAGGAACAGCAGCAACATGCTTTTACTTACTCACAAGCTTGAAAGTTGAAACCCTGGTGAGATAAACATCTACTTAGTCATAATCATAAACCATAATGATGGAAGCCACAACTTTTGAGTCATTCCTTAAAGAAAACTTATGCAGGAAAGTATGATTCTTTAACAACCCCATGAAGAAGAATAAGAAACAGAGAACAATGGAGAGACAAGATTAAATAAGACAGTATGCTGACCTTTTGATCAGCCCCGTGCAGCATTATGGCTTGATGAAGATGGTGCACAAAATGAACCTTCTGTTGAACTGTTCTCCCTACGAAGATGTTGCAAGAACAATGTTTTTACTGTATCTTCTTCCATTTGCAGCAGAGCCATCCCACTTCTCAACTGACCCACCTCACTTTTCAGTTCAACCACCTCACCTTTTAGTTCCACCACTTCACTTTCAGTCCATCATTTGCACTCAAAGCATAGCAGAAAACCTGCATAATATCTAAGTTCCATCAAGCATCGACAACTAGAAAGAGGCTACAAATAAATTAAGAAATTCATTGCATACAGAATAGAACATAATGAAAGTTCTTTCTAAAAGAAAGATGACAAACCTCGATATTAGTCTGGTTGTGCATGCCAAACACAGATCCCATTAGATGTGATAAAGGATGATTGCCAAAGTCACTGCTCACATATCCAATTCTAAGCCTCTCATTTCCTTGATCACACTTAATACAAATCGAGGGAGGATGGTTGAAAGGACGAAGTGCAAACCGAGTTGCAACTATAGAGCAATGAGCAGCATAGTTACGGCTGTTTGGAAGAACAAGAGAATGTCAATGGAAGGTTTGATTCATAAAGTTAGAAATAAATTAATAAAGATAAAATACAATACCTGATTTCTAGGGCAAGCATTGGATCCAAAGTGTATGCTTAAGCATGGAAAGGTTGTACACTAGAAGAACAGAGGACTGGAAAATTACATATGTAAAAAGAATGCTTCAGTTAACAACCATATAGCGGTAATCAATGAAAGGTATAAGAATATCAATTCCACCAGGTCCACTTACATTGATCTGCCTCCGTATAATCCCTTCAACTTCATTGAACATCAAATCCCACTCTTCCCAGCTACAGACACACTGAAAGTAGAAAACTGAAGCAGTTAATACAACTACCAAAAAGCATACTCTAGGCAACAAATCCCTTGGAAAATTGAGTCCCTGCCAAATCTACGATAGACCCAGTATAAATTTGAAAATGCACGAGTTTGGAATAAGCAGAGCCCTTCATGTGGATTCACAGCATTGCTGGTCACATACGGAATCAGAAAATTGCAAGATATGTTGATTCTATCAATATGACCAACAACTCTAAGACACCAGAAACCAAACCCAGCTTCGAAATCCAAGGAATTAGACAAGACTGAAAACTGTTTCCACTTTTAACTTTACCTGCAGTGTGTGTAGAAGGTTACAAGTTGCATCGGGAAAATCTGGTCAAAGAAGCAATGCTTGTCTATAACTCTTTACGGCAGCCTCCACTTGACCACTACATATCATGCCAAACAAAACATATCATAATGTGGCAATCAATACCATTTAAGATGCTGACTCACAGACTGCATGAAAGTATTTAACTCACAGCCTCGCACCCACAAAAAAATGTACAGGAGGAAGAAATAGGGAGCAGAAATATCAATAGCCTATATTAAAATTATTAATATAAATAGCTTTGCTATTTATGTCATTTCACAATGGCAGTAGGAGTCAAGTAGTTGCTTTACTTCTATTGCACGCATATACAGGGTAGAACCAGAAATTATGGAAGCACAATTGACATTCTAAGGCTTAAGTTCCTATGTATACGCAGGAGTTCAACCAGATTACTAGACTCTTTATCAAAACTTATTCAAAGGCCTGTCAAACAATCCGCAACCCAATCCTATCATGCTTAAAAATCAAATACGGGTACCTATCGCTTATAGATAACAACAAGATTGTTGAAAGGAGCAGACAATCCAGTGGTCATAGCAAGCGTTGCTTTATAGTATGAAGCAGCTGCAGCTAGTCAGGGGAAGAAACCGAGCAATGGATCAAGGGACCCGTTCTAAGGCATGGAAAGGCAGTAGCACTAGCCACCATATATACAGTTTAAGGGGAAACAACTGCATATATATACAGTTTAAGATGCAGTAGCACAAAACCAACTATACCAACTATAACAGCTAGTGATACTCAAAACAAAAAATTTACTTCTCAGTTGCATCTGCCTATAGATGAAGCCTTGTAGTTGGCTTTCCATCTTCCTCACTGCACTAGCACTCCTGTTTTCCCCTCATTGAAACTTAGCCCATCATAACAAATGCCAATTTCAGAGAAATCGCTATTTCAGAAACCACTAGAACTCAAATTTATTCAGTAGTAAAATTGAATTGAGAGTAGCAAGAGAAAAGTTCTTTAATCGAAGAAGGGGAAAAGGACTAGGAGGGAGAAGCGTGAGGAGGTGAGAGCTTACCGACAACCAATGCAAAGGGAGATTGTTGTCTTCATCCACAAGCGAGGAATCAGAGGTGCACTACTGGACGTTTCAGGGGAACATAGTCTAGAGGCTGGATTTTTAGATGGCGGATACATCTCCGACGAGGAGAGCCCGACAGAAATCGTGCTTTCTTTGCTGGGAATTCGTCGTCCGGTCGAGCTGCAAAGGCCACCACCGTCAGTTTAAGATGGTGAGCTTGTTATTGGAGCAGAGCTTGATGATCGAAAAAGATAACTTGATCGAGATTGACATTACCATTGTTCAATTAAGTTTCCTACTAGGTTTCAGATTCAAGCTTCCTCTGCCGTCGTCGCCGTCGTTGTGACTGCAGCAACAATTAGAGTTGTGGCCTACAGAGACGAGTAGTAGGAGAAGAGAATAATTGAGGTGGCCACGAAAATTGGATTCAAAACCTCCATGATCGATGGTCTCGCCGCTGCTGATGTGATGGAGTTATCGCCGAATCTCTATGGAGAAATCGAAATAGGCGAGGAAGAGTTGAGGCAAGGTTATTAGGGTTAGGGATTTTTTTCGATAGATACGATTGGGGAAGAAGACGAGAAGCCCTTTACTTTTTTTGTGAGAGACGAGCAGGATTTCATTTTAATTTACAATCTGAAAAGAAAAGGAAAAAAGTGAATGTGAGTTTTATTTTAAAAGAAAAGGAAAAAAAAGCCTCCAGCGGTTGCTCCAATCGCTGCATGCGGCCGCTGCTATAGGGATAATGCATAATTGTGGCAGGGGTTATGGCAACCGCTGATACAAAACCGGTGCTATATGCTCATTTCCTTGCAGTGGCAGTCCGCTACCAGCTTAAAAGCAGAGGATGAGCTTAAGTCGATGAAGTTCGGAAGCCGGTATCCATTGTTTCCATGAGCGTAATTTTTGTATTCCTTCACCGTCAATTGATTCTGGTTCGTCGAGAAAGGGTAGCAGTCCGCCGCGACCTTCAAAGTAGATGATGAGCTGAACTCGATGGAGGTCGGAAGCAGGGACGAAGATGCGCTGGAGTCTTGGGTTGGACGAGGAGACCAAGCAGCATAATCCGAGAATAAAAAACATGAAATTTACAGAATAAATTTAGATCGACCATGAGATTTAGGTTTTGGTGGTTGTTGGGTTTTGATGATGATAGTCAAATTAAGGGTTAGTTATTGGGGTAATAGTGATGAACGGATGATGACGATGGCCTTTCATGATGCTCGAATTGGGGTGTGGGATGATGATCGATCCAAAAATTTGATGGAACTTTTATTTATGAAATTACATAATTTTTGGGTATTCAAATGAGATATATAATATTAATTTAACTATATTCTCTTATTTTAGGTAATTAAATCTTCCATATATATTTGTATCTCATATTTGGTATCCTTGTCACGTTGATTATCCGAATTAGGGCATGACGGTAGCTATTTATATAACAGATTTTTTCTTTCGTCCAAAAGACACAATCAAGAAAAGAAGAAAAGAAAAAGGAGAGTTTAGACAACATCACAATTTCTTTGATAAGATATATAATATGGGTTCAGTAAGTCTGCGAAGAAGTGGTGTTCATGTTATTTGTGCTTTCTTTATCATTGGAGTTGTGGTGAGTGGGATTTGTAGTGCTGCCAGAGAAGTCCCAACTAAAAGTACCATCTGACCGTCACATGTGACCCACCGAATCTCCCCCTCATTTCATTATCTGATCTTTAGTGAATGTTGTATATACAATGTTCGTCTTTGTTGCTAATTGGAAACAAGGCCTTGTCAACCGATCGGGCCTCTGAACTAGATAAACAAGCGGTTTTTCTATATTTATGATCATTTATCTAATGAATAAATCAAGTTAGATTTTGCTTTATTAATCGTTTCCTTGTTAATTCACAACTTTTCTTTTTTCGGTTTTTATTTTTCATAAAGTTTATTATGGTTGAAATAATTTTTACATGTAAATGTTTGCCTCACCATGCCAACTAGCTAGGGCTGATGATTGGTAATTGATGAACCGGTTAATCGATAAATCAAACCTAAAAAACCTATTATTCGTCTAAGCGATAACCGGTAATTAAGAATGTACTCAGTGCTAGTTTGGAGGGGTATTGATTTAAACGTGAAACTGACAACTAACCATCCAACACCCAACAACATAAAAAAAGACGTTGCACTCTATCCCTTTCTCACTAAGAGTCGAGATGACCTCTTATATTCTATGTTTCTGCCTCTCAAATCTCAAATCTCAACTATCATCACATCAACCACTAACCCCTAAAACCAAATCTCCCATCCTTGTTGCCTTGACTTCCTCATCCTCGATCATCGACCTTTCTTCCTCATCCTCTATGCTCCCCATTTCTCGCTTCACCTTCCTCTTTTTTTCATCGAATCACATCTTCAAGTTTCAAGTTATTAATCTTAGTTTTCTTAGTCAACTAGTTATATGCTTTGAAACAGAGACTAAACCTTGTCAATTGAAATTGTAATCTGTCGGCCGCCACTCCCCTTCATCAACCATCTACTTAATCATTCACCGTTTTGGTCCTCGCCTTCATCATCATTATGTGATGTGATTATATTGTCTTTCTTATTGCTTGGGAGTTAGGTGATGATATGAATCGAGGCTCAAACTCTTGGATTCATGATTACCAATGTACACAACTAACTTCGATCTTCATGTTGATTCACTCGAACCAAAGGATACAGACGGAAAATTGATCAAACAATTCCAACTTGTGAGCGAGAACTCGCCACAACTAGATGTGATCTTCTGGTTGATAAGAGATGCACAAACTCCTAAACTCCTCCACATTAGATTTGGGCAAAATGTTCACTAAGGAACACGAGAATTAACTCATCAATTGATTGATAAAAACTTGATATCTTGGTTGTTAAACTCATAGGTTTACACTCTCTGTTTATAAAGGTCACAAAAATCCAAAATTAACCTACTAAGACTAGGAAAACTACTCCCAAACTAACTAGGTAACTGACTCACTCCTACTGTCACTCTAGAAAATGGCCAAGTGTAACCACTTCCTAAAGCGTAGTATAGCGTGTTTGGGTTTTATTGTCAACCCGGGTCCTAGATGTGATGACTACTCGGTGAAGTCTTGTTATTTAGCAGTGAACTTTTAGTGCAACTCAAGCAAACAAAAACACAAAGCAAGTAAACGGTTGTTGTCAAGTCAAGAGAGATCACCCGGATATGGATCCCCCTAGACTGCAGTTAAGTCGGATTGCAATTTACCAAGTTCAGTTTTCATGAAAGTTATACTGCGGAAGGTTCTTAATTAGCCTGAAGTCTCGACTAAAGGTCTCCAGACCCTCTCAATCTGAGTCTCTAGCGGGCGACTAACCTCCACCGGAGTAAACAGATTGAGGCCCTAACGAACCAAACCTCCACTACCGAATTGAATTCGGTACAGAATAGCGAATTGGCTCCTCGACTATAGTCACCAATTCGCCACCTTCGATTAAGGGTACTCTATCAACCTAGGAAGATATTCTCATTCTAGGTCAAAGCAGAAACAACAGGAATTTGATCAGGATTCAAGTCATTCAATCATTCAAACCTCAATCGAATATAATCAATTCACAAACTTTGTACTTGGGTTCATACAATCAGACCTAGCATACACATCTAGGGTTCCCCATACCCAGATGAATGGGGGAACTACTCCATAGAGAAAGAAGCAAAAGCAGATTCAGACGCGAAAATCATACTGTGAAGACGGATTTCTGCTCCTGGACGTTTAATCGCACTTCTCCAAGCTCAAGCCGGACTCCAATGGTGATGAAGATCGATCTATGGCGCTTGGGAACTCTGGTTCGTCGCTTTCTCTCTCTAGGTATCGCTTTCTCTCTCAAAAACTCGGATCCCTTCAATGTTGGCCTTCTTTCTCCTTAAATTGACTGCCTGGTCGCGATACCCGGTCGAAATACCCGGTCGGGTATTCTGGGTTTCGACCGGGTATATACAAAACGCGCCGCTTTGGTGAAGCTAAAATCCCCGACCGGGGATTTGTGCCATCTGCCCGGGCCCCTCTCTGCTTCTCGGGCGCCCAAAACAGCGAATACCCGGTCGGGTATTTGGCCACCTGACCGGGTATTTTCCTCCTGCAGCTCACTTTGTCCCAACTTCGCTCCTTTCGACCCTAAACTCGTTTCTCCGCCTCGATTTCAACGCCGAGACCTGAAATATGACATAAACACATACCATAGCGTGAAATCGGCTTAAAACGCTAGAATCCACATCTCAAACGGCTCCAGAATGGGATGAAAACATGTGTAATTATTAGTCTATCAGTAACATAATACTACTTTTACAAGGATATAAACTACTAATTAAACTATTAAATACCTCCCAGTTGATCCTTATATCTTCGAATCTGAATCCTCATTTTTGGGCCATGAGAATCAAATATTGTGCTAATCGATATTGTATCAGGTGATGAAACTCCTAGAGATAAAAATTGATAGATTTTTGTTGGTTGAAGTTTGATGATTGTTTCTACAACCCACAGTTTAACCGGCTGATCGAACTGCTTCGATATGGACTCGACTTTCTAATCAGGCAACAACAAAATAGTAAGAACTTGGTCAGATTCATTTAAACCTAAAAACTCAATTAAACGCACATAAAATCATTCAACTTGACCATCCGTTAAGATTCCAAAACAAAGCCAGTAACTATGAGGTTTGAACCATGAAGTTTAATGTTTCAAGGCAATACTTTCACCATTGAACCACACAACAACTTGTGCACATATTTTGTAATCTCTTCATATATTTACTCATCTTTGGATCGGGTGTCGTTCCATTTGGCAAATTTGTTGCCGTTATCTTATACTTCACTCATTGTAAATGGTAGAGGCGGATTCATTCATGCTTGAGACCATTTACAAATAAAACATTGATTACGTGACTATTAGTGGTATATAGTCTTCTGAAACAAAGTTTGTAAGATTGGGTAATTGAAGTTGGTTTCATATTGTAAAAAGTTGCATCGACTAATTATCTTGCGATTAATTGCACGGTAATGGGGGAGGGCCCCCTCTGATTTGCATATAAATTGGAATTAATTAATGGTTACCATCAACCGAGAGGTAATTCTCCA